AAGCATTCTGCCATTGAGTTTTTCTTGAAGTTTAAAAACATTTCAACTAGTTTCTTTGGTGCTCTAGATTCTTTTTAGATGGTAGTGACTAAAAAAAAAAAAAACCTAATGTCTGATGTCATATGTCTTTATTGCTATTCCAAGTGCCCACCCCCAAAAAAACAGCAACAGAGGGAGAGAGTATTAAAGTTATACTTATTTTTATATACATGTTTTAAGATTTATTTTTATGTGTATGAGTGGTTTTTCTTGCATTATATGTGTGCACCATGTTCATGTCTGGTACCTATGAAGGCCAGAAAAAGGGCATTGGATCCCCAGAAACTGGAGTTACAGGTGACTGTAAGCTACTGTGTGAGTGCTGGGAATTGAACCTGGGTCTTACACAAGATGAACAATTCTTCTAGACTCTAATTCTAATATAGTTTTTTATAGTTTATTTTACTTTGTTCTTTTGTTTACAGGATTTAAATTCTCTTTTCAACAGTGATAAACTAGCTCAATTTATTAGATTTCACCTTCCTTATGTAACCAATTTTCTGATACCTGCCTTGTTCTTGGGTTGAATTATGAAAGGCAGACACAGAGAGAGAGATATAATTATTTTTATGACAAATGTTAAACTGGTCAGATTGGCTCTACCTTTGCTTCATTTGGTTCCTCTACTGTTTTTAATTTGAAAAAAGAAGTTGGTTTCTTGTTGGTGGAAGCTCTTTGCTAGTGATGGTTTCCTTAGAACATGAACACTTGGCCATAAATGAATTAGGAAGAATACAACATAACTTTAGTTCACTCACAGCAGACAAAGGTTATTTAAAACATAAGTTATAATTTGGTTATTATTGCCAATTTTGGTGACACTTGAACTAGACTAAAACTTTACTCTTAAGCATAAAGTTATTTTGTGCTGGATGTAAATTTTAAATCATGAAAGTTGTTCTTCAAGAGAAAAGATGAGAAACTAAGCATCGTTATTAGTTTCTTTTCTATTTCCATGAATATAATACCCTGACTTGGGAAGAGGTATCCAACTCTGGTAAGGCGGGCATGATGTCGGGAACTTGAGGTTGCCCAGAAGTCAGGAAGCAGAACAAGAACAAGACATAAGTAGGGGTTGATATAAAACCTCAAAACCTTCCCCACTGAGCCCCACCCTCCTAAATGTTTCATAGCTTTTCCAAATACTGCCACCAACTGGAGATGTATTCAGACACATAATCTTATGAGATACTTTTTACATTCAACAAAAACACCACACCTCCTAATCCTTCCCAGACTGTTTCAATAAATGGGGATTAAACACTCAAACATATAAGCTCATTCTCATTAAAACCACCACAGGCATAATTTTGAAATGCATAATTTGAATGTTACCTTTTTCAGCTCCATGTTATACTACCATATAATAAATACTATTTCCTGTCCTTTCCATAAATCTGTTCCCCAATCTCATATCTCCAGTCCAGCTCACTTAGAAAAGAATTGTTAATTAATTATTGAAGCATTTATTAGCCTCTTCTGTGAGGGTGTCCTATAGATACTCAGGTGTTAAAAGAAGGAGATATGATTGAATTAAGTCATGCTGATCTTACAGATTTTTTAAGGTGTTCCTTTTTGGTTTGGTTTTAAACTTAAGAGTTCTTTATTGATATTTCAGGGGACCAAATAGTATGCACATTTAACTCTGTGATAGAACATGTCTGACCTTTTCTTTTGGATATAAATGGTCCATAGTTGGGGAGTATAAAGGAGGGATGTTGCCTCTCAGTCTTTGCAACTATTTGTAGAAGTCTGAATATTCTTAAGAGTATTAAACCTGTTGTTTAAAGTGTTTATTTTAAGAATGACCAAAGGGCTACTTTTTTATTGCCCAGTCACCTGCCTAGTTGAAATTTGTAGCAGAAGGGAATAAGGTCCAACTTGACGAGCTATGACCTTCCTTTTCTACAGAGGCAACTTGGGACTATCTTGGCCTAAGGCAAATGATACTAACACTGCTTAGGTAGAGCCAACAATGATTGCTTGTCTATAGCTCCAGGTCTTACTTGCTTGAATAGAAAACAGCAAATTAGCAAAGAAAAAGGTATCTTAAAGATGTTATTGTATTAAGTTTTTTTTAAGGCAATTATTATAGAAGGGAAAAAAAAATTTTTGTGACTGCAGAAGAGGAGGGAATGAACTATTTTATTAATACCAAGTGTATTCTAGTCAAATAAGTACTTCACATAAGTGTGTCATGGGAAATGGAGAAGTAGGCTTAGGTCCATTTCATCATTGCTTTTCACGTTTCCCACCAAGTAGAAATTGTCCAGTCCAACACATTGTACTTAAATATTCATTTGGAATTAGCATCCCAATACCATATTCTTGGTTTTTTTTAACTACAAAGTATATTATAAAATCGATATTTTTAAAGATGTGCTGTTTATCTGATGACTCTATCTTCTTGTGGCATCTGTGGTCTCTTATTCCTGTTTCTACTCCAGGTCAAACTTTCTACTCTTGATCTATTGTACCTGAGAAATTTTTAGTCAACCATAGGTATATAAATGCATAAAATAGGTGTGCAAGTCAAATATTGACTGATAATAAATCATAATGTTACTTTAGAATATTTTCTTGGTATGTATATTTTACCATGTTAAAACTAAAGACTAATCTAAATTTGCATACAAGAAGATGAACCTGCTTATTTTACATAAGTTTCTTGGCTGAATATTTGATACGGCCAAATATAGTGCCTTTTCAACAACTTTTAGGGTTGATTGATATTTTTATTTTTCCAGTCATCAGTGTTGAGAATACCACTTCACACTTTCACATCGTGGAAAACAGCAGAAGTAAATTAGGCCCATTTTAGCTATTACTGGAAATAATGTCCTAATGCCAAGCTAAAATTCATTTAATACTTTTTTTAATGAAACTCAGATCATCAAGCCACACAGTCATTCTTAAAATTTCAAAAATTTCTTAATATAATCCAAAGATACAGGTTTTTAAAATATGTATGTATGTGCTTACATACATTTATATACATCATGTGTGTACAGGTGCCTGAGAAAACCAGAAGAGGACATTTGATCCTCTGGAACTGGATTTATAGATAATTATGAGCCATATGATGTAGGTTCTTGAAACAGAAACTGGCTCCTTTGCTAGAGCAGCAGCATGTGCTATTAACTGCTAAACCATCTCTCTCTCCGTAAAGATGCTCTAGTTTGATACTTATGTACTGATAATGATAGGAAAATACCAAGTCCTGTATGTCTCTATAAGAGCAGAAAACCTTGTAAGAACTTTATTGTACTGTACTTTATAAGACACAGTAATGTTGAGTCTGAACTGAGGTGCCTGAAACAGCATTGGCTAGCACTGGGAAGTATGGTGCCGTGTGCAGCGCATTAGGTTCATAGTGTATGTTCAGAACCAAGGCTGCATGCAGGAAGGCATGTGGTATAACACTGGACAAATACTGACTGTAGCTGACTGTAACACCCTGTTTATTACAAGTATATTTATTACACACATCTTTATTTCATATTTTAAAAATCAGACATTAGAATGCTTGAAGATAAATACAAGTAAAACCCAGTTGTTAATGAGAAGGGTACCCTACTCTCAGCTACTATATTGTTTGTGTGTACTTCAAACATGATGTCTTTGCTACCGATTATTACTCTCCTTCCTCAGTGCTGAAATAAGCCATTTTAGTTTCTGCTTTACTCTCTTTCTCCCTCTCCCTCTCCTTTTCCTCACCCTCCCTCCTTCCTCCCCACCCTCTAGTTCCCTGAAAGTGTAACTCAGCCTTAAGGTGTGTAGGTCTTACAAGAACTTGGCTCTTGATGTCAGTAAAATCTGCTTTGAAATTCTGACGCTGAATTATTAATTATTATGCCGCTGAGTAGAAAGTGCTTTAGTTTTCTGTGCTTTGGTTTCTTTATTCCTAAGAACGTAATAATGTTTGTATAAATTTCCAGGATTCCTTATAATGATAGCTGAAATGTTATAACTTAGTTTCAAACTTTAATAATCATGTTTAATAAGGCTATATGTACAGAATGTCTTTCTCACACACGCAGAGGTTCATTAAGTGGTATTGCTTGAAAATACTTATTCTGCAGTTACATGGCCCATTTGGGGATGATGCATATTCTAAATAACAAACTATCTTCCTCTTGAGTTTGATTTTGATAGGAGCATGTTGCATAATAGGTAGCAGTCAACTAATCTGCTCTGTTAATTTGGTAGTATAAAAAGATTCATATATAATGAATATCTGCTCTCAAAGATGCTTTTGTACACTCTCCCCTGCTTCTGCATTTATGCAGTTGTCTTGTTTTAAGTAGGACTTTCTCCTGACAGTGTGTGTTAATAACTGGAAAATTCCCTATCAGTAGACTAGCACCATCTTGACAAGCCTGTGTTCTGCTCCTACCTTGCTAATTGTTTCCTTGGGATTATTTGGATTGTGTAGAAAGCCTTTTGCAAATCCTCTTATTACTGAAGTCATTGTTGCCAGCAGGAATAAGATTAAAGGTGCTTAAGTCTGTAGAGTTGTTTCTAATTTGTTCGTGTCACTTCAGTGGCATTTTAACAGAACTCTGCCTCCTGTCCCTCCCTTCTCCCCTGGTACTATCTCAAGTTAGGTCCAAGATGCCAGGCCATTGGAAGAAACCTCATTTTATCCTCCTAATTATTATGCTGGCACTCAGGAGATAATTTTTCCCTTCATGCACTGCCAATTAATATGCAAATGTACTGATAAATATTTATGTATTCATTTAAATTATGCAGGGAGTGCTTTCAGTGTATTCTGTAAATGAATTGTTCCTGGACTTCAAAGTGCTGGCTGCTGTGCTAACGAGGAGAGATTTGCATAAGGCCCTAATCACACGCATACTGATTAAGCTTCATTATGGAAACTGCCAGCTGCAATCTTTGTTTCTATTTTATTACAAAAAGGGGAACTTTTCATGCTTCAGTTGCCTTGACAATGTCAGTCCTAGCTGGTAGAAGAGACTAAAACTCCTCTGAGCAACTGAAGTTTCCTTATTCAGTTGAAGATTGTGATGGTGTAACAGAAGTTGTAGTTTGCTTCGCTTGTTAATCCACTTTCCACTCCTCCCACCCTTGTTCTCTTAAGAACATAGTACAGATTGTTAGAAATAGTAGTATTTTCCCCACCCCAAACGCTACCTGTTCCTTCTTGCTTTGGACTGTCTGCACCTCCTGAAGATTTTACAGCCATGCTGGACTGCAGTGACTGTGTTCTAGGTGGGTACCAGCACAGTTCTTTTCTTACAGCGTTAATATGGAAATAGCATGTGTGGGATTGACTATGCATAAATCCTCAATCACATATGCAACCAACATGGGGGAGGGGAGGGCTTGAACAGAGAAGGAGGAAAGCATTTGCAAGGCAAGAGCATGTTTGAGTATGCTGTAGGTCCCTCCTTAGGACTAGCTCTTCTGGTTCAGAGTGTATTTTCAACAAATAATGTATTTGAATTTGCCTTGCATGGAGGAAATTTTTGCTTTTTGGCAATTTTCATAGAAAGTAGTGTATGTAATTTAAAATACATTTTAAATCAGAAACAAAATATATACCATATCAAAATAATATATACATACTAATAAAATAGTTTTCCTATCTAATAAGAATCCCTCATACAAAACCAAAAATGCTAAATGAAAAATTAAGGTGGTATCATAGTGAAGAATTAATATTATGACTAGTACTATTTGTTGGAAATTACAGTGGTTACTGTGCTGTTGATCAGTACAATTTACTGGCCATTTTCAAAATTAAATCCAGCTTTATCTTAGGAAATTGCAGTTTTATGTATTTTTGAAAGCCTGTTAATCATAAATTTCCTACAGAACAAGGAGCCTTTTGGAGGTAGAGGTTCTGCCTGAGTAAATGAAGCATTTTGGGTGACATGAGACGGGTTGAAGTGCTTTGGTTTAGACAGATGATACCGCATAGTGGCCATATTTTGTGAGGACTTTTCCCTGTTTACATGAAGAATGACTGAAGCCTTTTAAAGGCATCTGATATAAACTACAAGACTTGGATAGCTTAAGCTTAAAACTTTAGCAAATGATTTTATTTCTTGAGTGTCATTTTCCATTCTGGAAAAAGTAAATTGATACATCCAAAATATCTGAATTCTTATTCAGAAAACATGATTAAAGTCAAGTTACCAGTAATACTTGTCCCTCAGAGTGGAAACTACTAGGATACACATGATACAAACAGCAAACTGATGTTAGGTAGGAGTTCAACCGGCAGTAATTTATAGATTGCAAATTAGAATCATGATCAACTAAGTGACATAGGCTTCTGGTTTTTCTATTACTAATAAACAAAAATATCAGTGAATAATTTACTTGTATTTTTTCTTTTAACTTACCAAGTTTGAAATTCAAGAAATAAAAGGAAAATACCTTTTTGAAGTATGTTTACCATGTATCTTTGAATATCGGAAATTATATAACTACTTAGAGTTAACACTGTCATTGAGAGACCTCCCATTGTTATATCAGAATGTTATCTATTCATATTTTATTTATTTATAATAAATTATTCTGTTTGTGTTTGAAGTAATTTTGTAAAAAATGCCTTTGAAGGTCTTGACAGTTCAATAAAGGTCCTTTAAAAAGTCCTGTAAAATACCTGTGGCATATTTTTCAGATTTATTAGTGTGAAAATTAGGCATTGAATTATGCAAGGCCAGGCTTATGAGTTGTTAAGACTTAGACATTTTGGTTACTGTGGTGTCTGTGTATGAGAAAATTGTTAACTCTGTTTATATGTGTTTACTGATTTTTTTGTACTTTGCTTTAAAATATATCCCTTTTAAAGAAAACATTGTGTGTATATATAATGATAGGTTTGAGTTTTGTGATATATGTTAACTTTTCTAAGATTTTAGTTAAGTCATACAGAAAGCTAATTTTTACTAAGTTGTACACCTGGTTCTTTCAAACCTTAGTGTGCTTTCAGGTGGTATTTAATTTTTTTTTGGATGGTGAGGAAGGAAGTTGTAGAACAGCCTCATTTATGACCACAAACATACATGTCTAAGGCCCATAAGACATGTGTCAGTTATAAAAATTTACTATATTAGAGAAGATAGTGCTCAGTGTCTAGAAAACAAACTGCCCAATTTCTAGTTTATGAAATAGGAAAAGTTCCTGATATTTTTCCTCATCTCTTATACATTTAGATAATGCAACTATGGGCAATACAGTTGAGACTTATAATGATTGTCTTGTTTTCTTAATTATAAAACATTTTCTGCAGATGATTTTTTAAAAGTTGGTATGATGTTGTTTGATTTGTTCTCTTATAATAACTTAGTTAATGGTCCTTAATGAGGGAGAAGAGGTAGAACTTACTTGGTAAGAAACTTATTTTATGACAAACGTTAAGTCTGTAGTGAATGTAGATCCAAATGTCTATTTTGTCTATTCTGTTTGTTGACCCTTGGGAAGAGGTAGTAGGCCATAGTTGTTCTTGTCTCCTTTCCTACATATTTTCTGGAATTGCTAATAGTGGTTGACAATATTTTACTATGGAAACCACAATTTAATACACTAGAAAGAAATATCCCTAAATTAACTGGTTCATTTGTAAGTGTGTGTGGCTCTTTTAAAACTATAGAGATTCCTGTTGTGCCTTCTGGTGTAGTCTGTTGTGCTTGTTTTTAATGAGCCATTTGTTTGGCATACCACGTTATTGGTTCTAGTTTGGCTAAGGAAGTCAAATGGATGTGTTCGGACAAGTTTCCTTTCATCTGTTAAATTATTATTAACTGTGAATTGTTTTAGTTAAAGTTAACTGATATCTTTGCTTTTAGAAAAAGGATCATTTGAGAATAACAGTTCTTACTTTCTCAGATATTTCCAGCTTTCCAGTTTATTTTAAAAGTATATTACACATGCCTCTTGTAAAGAATTGATTTTTTTTTAGCATGTCAGACTGTAATATAATCTTTTTTACCTTAAATTTTTCTCTTAGGGGAATCTTAAATCTTATTAGATAATTTATTTATGAGTTTCTTTATGATTTAGGAACTCCTGAATATTTGTCAGGTAACCTTTTACTCAATTTGTAATGTTGTAGCCTGCCATATGCTATGCATGAGCTTCTTGAAATGAACTACTTTGATATTAGTTAACCCTTGCCTTGGCCCTAGTTTTGCCTCCTTAACTGCATCCTCACCCCTAATTTTTGAAAACACCTTCTCTGTCTTTGTCTTATTGCAGACTCCAGAATGAACAATCCGTCAGAAAGCAGTAAACCGTCTATGGAGAGTGGAGATGCCAGCACAGGTGAGAAAGCAGCCTCCTCGCCAGCTTTCTCCTTCTGCTCATAGAGCTCAAATGAGAAGGTCTACTTCACTTGGATACATATTTGACAAATACAGAGAAACTTGTATATCTGCTTATGAAACATGATGTAGTACTTGTAGGGACTGGAATTGTATTTAACATTACCTAACTCCTCTGAGGAATGCTTCATTTATTGGATTCCATCTATCAGAGAAACTACAAGTAGTTATGGGAATGGTCCTTTGGGACACATAGTCCTAGGTCTGAATTATGGATTTATCACTTACTAATAACTGTGTGACTAGGCAATTTCCTCAGTCTTTTTGAGGTTTAATTTATTCAGTAGGGATATTTCATGGGTCATCATGAGTATTGAATGAGAATATAGCTGTGAAACATTAAAGTGTCATATGTACCAGAAGCTGTCAGATTAAGTTTCTTGGTTATTGCTATAATCAGAATAGTAGATGTGGTCTATGCTGTATTTGATATAAATTTTGCTAAAGTTTTGATTGTGTCAGTAAGAAGTTATAAACTCACCAACACATCCTTTCATTTGATTTTGATAAAATGTATATTTAACCCAAATCTTTTTTCAAGAGAAAAACTAAGTATCATATAAATTAAAAAATGAAACCCTTTGAGAGAAAGGTAAATCTATAAATATATATTCAGCCCTCCCTTGTAAGTCAGTGAGCTCATAGGACATTTGACAGTATAACTATCATCTGACAGATATACAAAAGTTTCCTCAGTTTCTGCTGGAGGCAAAAATTAAAACATTAAACGATATTAAGGGAATTGTGGGCAAGGAGTTATAAAAAGTCATTGTTTGTAAGGTAAACTAGGCTTTTTATTTACTGAAAGGGTTTACTCTATCATGTCAACATATGTCGTAACTATGGGAGATAGTAAGAAGGACAGTCTCTCTTGAAACTGTGTTTTCTACTACTCCCAATCATAGATAGATAGTTTTTAATTACAGTAGAAGATTGGGTGGACTCAGGAGGAGTCTTGTGTCTGCACCTGTCTCATTGTAAACTGTCCTGTATTTGGAAAAACACGGAAGTACCTTTTAAAAATCTGTACTTTTTTTTATGGGAGACTGAGGCTTTCGTGTTCAGCTTTGCATATTCAGCATGCCCCTATTTGTCTTGTTGAGGCTAGCCAAATAGCTACCATTGCATCTCTTCCCCAAGAGGAAGAAAAGCAGCATTGTATTCTGTCCAGCTAGCTTTCTTCTAGTTTCTCTTCTCTGTCTGGGCCCCTTCTTTATCTTATCACTGACTTATGCTGATGTAAGTGGCCTTGCCAAAGGAGTGGGACTTGTTTGCAGAGAGCAGCTAGGCAGTCAGACCTATGAAGAGGCTAGGAAGTGTGAGTAACTGGGACTCCCACATCTAAAGAGTACCTTCCAAATTTCTCTAAAGAAAAAGAAAGAAACTCAGAATGATTACAGAATATTGAAAATATCTATGCTGTCAAACCCCTTAAAATCTATATTTACTTTTAATACTAAAATTTTTCTAACTACCATTTATTGAATGCCTACAAATACTTAATTTCAACCTTTGTTGTGTTTTTTAAAAAATCTTTAGTGCTGTGCATATTACCCAATTTCATTTAAATTCATATGACAGGTTAGATATTATTTCAAAGAATAGGGAGTTAAAATATAAAACCAGAGAAGAAATAAAGGCAAGTTTGTGACTAGCACCCTGTATAAGATTTTTCTCATAAACTATAATACATAAAATTGCAAATTTAAGCAACATATTGCGTGTGTTCAAACCCAAAGTCATTTATAGAACTATATAAAATAAATTCTGGCTGGAGCACTTGTTGAACATTTTGTGAATTTCTTGCCTTGTGAGAATATGGAATGTGTAACAGACTCCTTTTCATAGAGCTGAGAATTATCAATTTATGTAGTCACTTTTTGTGTTTTGTCCTTGTTGTTTGGTTTTAGAAACAGTGATTGGCCTGGAACATTTTATATAAAAAATAATAATAAAAAGGCTGACTTTAAACTCCTAAAGGCCCTGGTGCCCCTGCCTTCAAGAGTGCTGGGATCAAAGCCGTGTAACACACACTCTCAGATAGATACTTTTTAAGACAGTAACACATTTTCCGAGGCTTCTTTGCTTCTCCATCACCAGTAGTAGTGATTAATACTCTCTTTTCTCTACAAAGAGAAAATTAATTGCTTTTCTGTAAGATCTCTGCTAATATAGTAACATCTAGCTAGATTAAATATGAGCTGATTACTACCCTGAAAGGCATAGAGCTCAATGTTAAGGGTCTGCTGCTATGCTCTTAGCACTCTACTGATAGTCATTCATTTAGAAATGTAGATACATTTGAGTTCTGTGTTGTACATTAGATTTTCATGTTTGATATATTAGAAATAAAACTACAGGGTTTTTGTTTTGTTTTGTTTTGAAGTAGGATGTAATGGGTTATGCCTAGCAGTTGGAAAACTAAGGCAAGAGGATTATCTTGAGTTTGAGGTTGGGCAAGACTACATATCAAGACCTTGCCTTGAGAAAAGAAGACGTGAAACACAGGGGCACCATTTGTGCCGTGATAATAAAGAAAATAATAGTTTATTTAGATCATGTTATGCTTGTCTCAATTTTCATTTTAAAATACAATGAACTATAGACTGTTTGCCCTTATTCATTTGTTTAGTAATTTAATTGTGATTTTTTTTTTTTTTAGTTCATGAAAAAGTCCAAATTTTAAAGAAAGGAACTTTGAATGTTATATAAAACCAAAGTCTTAAATTTGATAGGTTCAGGAAACAGTTGTGTTGATCACTATTTCCTAAAATGATCACAGCTTTCAGTTTTCTTTATAAGATTTTCAGGGTAATGAAAGGTGTGAAGGTCAGGGAGATCTGACTGTGCATTTCCGACAGACAATTTCCCGATGCCCACAGAAAATTTTTGATTTGGGTTTCTTCTGGTTTACCTGTCTTATATGTAAAATGTTATAGATAGTATTATTAGATTTGGTACAGACAGGTGAGACTCACAGTCTTCAGAGGCTTAGCAATCCACCAAGAGCTAAGACATTAACAAAACTGATTCTGGATAGTTTATAGTGAGTTATCTAAGATCAAGCATAGAAGAACAACATAATATTATTAAATGGCCTTTCTCTCTCTCTTTCTTTCTTTCTTTCTTTGTAAATTTTTTTTTAAGTGGGATATAGTGGTACATGCCTTTAGAATCAGCACTTGGGAGGAGTTGCAAAAAAATAAATACAACACACCAAAATTAACCAGTTTCAAAGGACTAGACAACTCAAGGAACTTCTATACAGTTAGATTATACTTCACTATCTAATATATTTTTATGTAGTATCAACTACCAAAAACAAAAAAATCCATGGCAGAGTTAGAAAAGAAATTAGCTTTGTGTCCCATGTTGTAATTTGTATCTATTGCCTACATTTAGTCCTTCCCTCACCCCCATAGCCTTTCTTCTTCTTCTTTTTTCTACATGTCATATTGTAGCCCATGTACACTTATTTGCATATAACTAGCTAATTTACACATGAGAGAGATGATGTATTTTGTTCTGAGATTATGTAACTTCATTTAATATTACACAATCAAAGTCTATCAATTTTCCTGCAAATTTTGTGATTATATTTTTCTTTAGAACTGTATAGTATTTCGTTTTATATATCAAGTTTTCATTAGCATTAATCTGTTGACAAACCTGAGTCCAATTTCTTGCTCTAGTGAATAAAGCAGCAAGGGTGTGTAAATATCTCTATAATAGACTGTGGAGTTCTGGGTATGGGCCCAGGAGTGAAATAGCGAAATCATATAATAGCTCTGTTTTTAATTATTTGAGAAATTTCCAAGCTTATTTCCACAATGACTATACTAATTTGCATCTCTCCCAACAGTGATGTCGCCACATCCTCTACCACATTTGTCAGACTTATTGATGACTGCCATTCTCATTGGGGTGAGGTCTTATCTCAGAGTAGTTTAAATTCTCATTTCCCTGATGGTTAGGGATATTAACACATTAAAAATAGTTATTGGCCATTTTTGTTTCTTTTTTAAAAAAAGATATCTATTCAGTTAATCTGCCCATTTGTTAATTGGCAGTTTTATTTCCTTCTGTAGCTCTTTTGTAAATTCCGAACATTAGCCCTCTGTCTGAAGTATGGTGTTAAGATTTTCTGCCATTCTGTATTTAGGCTACAGTTTACTCTGTTGTTTATTTCTTTTAATGATTTTCAAATACGCTTATAGGCCAGGTAAAATGAACCACCATTGAAGGAGAAAGTATACAAGTTAAAACAAATAGGTTGGCAGGGGGTTGGGTGGGGGGGAGCCAGAGTTCAAATTTCAAGAAACCCACATGAATGTTGGATGGATGTAGTGGCTTGCTTGTAATTCTACCATGAAAGGCAGTAGTGGAGCATTCTCTAAGCAAGCTGGCTAGCAAGGCTACCCAGATCTTTTAGCACTAAGTCTGATTGAGAGAGTTTGCCTCAGTGAATATGAAGGAAGAGTGATCAAGTATGAGTCCCAACATCAACCTTATGTGCAGTGTACCATGTACGTACAGAAACATGCATACACACCACACACATAAAGAGTTAAAGACAAGAAAAAGAAAGAATGGCAGCAAGGTAAGAGCACGTGAGATACAAGTACACAGAACAGAAGGTTAGCTTTGCAAGGGAAGTTGGGAAGAAGACAAGAAAGCTGCATTTGGTTTCCAGGGCTCTAGGTGCCTACTGTACCCAGAGGGATCACTGCAGTGCAGTAAAGTAATGATGTTGATATCAAATTCATCTTACAGAAAAATACATATAAAAGATAAGCAGTCAACATTGAGACTATTTATTAAGAAGTATGTGATTTATGAGAACTCAGTGTAAGGAAAAATGTATTTCCAGTTGAAAATAAAGTGTTATGGAAAACATTAGAGGAAATATAGTTTATGCTGCCCATTGAAGAATGGGTTACA